AGGTTCTATAAAGGTGATAAATATATACATAATACAATATATAATGTACATAATACACACATATACATATGTATACATATATAATAGACATAATACAATAATGGAGATAAATATATACATGTGTATAGATAGATAGATAGATAGATAGATAGATAGATAGATAGATAGATAGATAGATAGATAGATAGTTAAAGGTTCATCTTTAATAGTAGGAAATTAGCAGATTATGTCCTGAAGGAAAAATTAAGACCCATCTGAATAAGCTTATAGATGCTAATACTAAGAGGGCTGTCCTAATAGTTGAAAACGGCCCCTAAGGCAGCCACATTAGATGAAGGAAAAAGTGCCCTCACTGACTGTGGATAACATGTGAGCCTCATAAAGCCGGGAAAAGGCAACGGCTAATTTTTCTTTACATGCCCTCTACTATTTTGATAAAATATAATTCAAATTAAAAGTTAAGTATGTCTAGCTTGACAGGTCTTAATAAACCATACCATGAAAAGCAGCACAAAGTCATGGCAGGGAACCGAGAGGCGGCACCCAGCCAGCCGTTCACGGCTTAGGACGCAGCGCAACAGGATTACAGCTGGGGTCGTTATACTTGCCGGGCTGCGTTAGTTTGCTAGGGATTCCTTAGCAAATTTCAGGGCCTTAGACGACTTGAGCAACAGAACCGTGTTTTCTCACAGTGTTGGTGGCTAAGGTGTTGGGTTCAGTGACCATGAGACCTCTCTCCCTGGTGTGCAGATGTCTGCCTTCTCCCTGGTCTCTTTGTGGGTGTGTCTTAGGCTTTACTCCATCCTCTAACAGAAACAGCTGGAGCACTGGGTTAGGGCACTACTCTGCCACCACTTCCAAAACCTTATCTGTAAATACAGATATATCCTGAGCTCTTAGGGGTGGGTTCCCAATGTAGGAATTTTGAATCTTAGCAAGTCACTAAGACAGCTGCCCCGTCCCCCATTTTCCTCTAGAAAAAAAATTTTTTTTAGCTCTAATAGCTAGGCTCATGTTCGAATGTAAGTTAATACATTTATGTATGATAAGAGGCAAAAGCCGAGACTCTCCACTGCTCTTTTCCCTTCCGAGTCAAAGTTGAAGTTTATTAAGAAAACTAACACATATTTAAGAGAGGGCTTCACACACAGACAAGAAAACAGTGATTGTATACACCCCAGGCTGCGTGAGCTTCTTCAGAAAAAGAGTCATTATTTTAAGACGGGCGCCACTACTCTGGCAAGAGGCACGAATCTTAAACACCAGAAAAAATACATTTTACATCTTAGATGTCTTCCTGGGAAAGATCTTAAAACATTTTAAGATGCGTTTTAGAAACGAAAGGGAGCAAAACGCAGGATTTCCATCAGCTCTCCCTTGTCTCAGACAGAGAGACATTTCGTGGAAGAATCTACTCTTCTCTTTCCGTCTTTTTCCTCTACCACTGCCTGATGCACGGCCCAGGCGCCCTGGCTGCCTGGTGTTTACAGAGCGGCAGCCTGCACTGCCCATGTCTCTGCCATGGCTCCTCGGCACTCCGGCTTTGAAAGGCAGAGGTCCTGCTTTCTGCACGGCCTGCCAACCCCTCCCCAATAACCAAGTGGATCCGTCCCTCTCACCCCCCCCCCCAGGTCCTCCCTGTGAACTCCTTTTCTGCATTCATGCTGTCCTGGGGACTCTTTTCAGGACTCACCAGGGGGACTCAAGGCACTTGCTTGAGGAGGTCTGTAGTGGGAGCCAGGGCAATGGTACAAACCTGTAGTACCAGCTACTAAAAAGGCTAAGGCAAGAGGATCACCTGAGCTCAGAATTTCTGGTCAGTCTGAGCCATAGTAACATTCCTCTCCAAATAAACTATTTTAAAAAAAAAAAAAAACGAAACAATATATCACTATGTAACCCTGGCTAGCCAAGAACTTGCTATATAGAGCAGGCTGGCCTAGATCTCACAGAGATCCACCTGCCTCTGCCTCCAGAATGCTGGGATTAAAGGTGTGTGCCACTACATCTGGCTAAATACATATTTTTAAAGACTTAAAAAAACAAAAAAGCTCTCCTGTCGGCGGCAGCATACACTTTTAATTCCAGCACTCAGGAGGAGGTAGAAGCAGGAGAATCTCTGTGTACAAGGCCAGCCTGTTTTACAGAGTGAGTTCCAGGACAGCTAGGGTGGGTTAACAAAGAGAAACTCAATCTCTAAAAACCAAAGGGGGGAAAATAAGTGCAAATAATGATTCATAAAAAGGAGTCCATGAATTTGAAGGAGAGAAGGGAGGGGTATATGGGAGGGTTTGGGGGGAGGAAAGGAGACATAAGGTTATAATTCAATTACAATCTCAAAAATTAATTTTCACATGTTAAATAAAAATAAGAATAATTGGAAACAAAATAGGATTGTTCAGTTTATTTGTTTTTCTGATATCACACTGTAATATGGTTCTTATAGCTTTAACAGTAACTTCCTGGATGCAAAGATACAGGCATGCAGTGCACACTCAGCACCATCCACTCACCCAGTGCACACTCAGCACCATCCACTCACCCCGTGCACGCTCAGCGCCGTCCACTCACACAGTGCGCACTCAGCGCTGTCCACTCACCCAGTGTGCGCTCAGCACCTGTCCCAGACAAGCTCTGGGTACCAACTCTGTGGCCTCAATTTTCTTTTTTCATGTTTCACTTCTTTTATTAAAAAAAATGCAGCTGTGTTCAAAACATCGGAAGAGAGAAAAGTGACGTAGAAGAACGTACATGGCAGACAGCCTGGTAGCCAAAGAGGATAGGAACTATGGTTGAGACAAAGAATTTCAGACCACAAAGAGGGAAGAAGGTATAATAGTGACTATTTCTCAATTTAAAATGTTCCTTTTTACAAGTCCATAGTAATCATCTTAAATAATTAATCTCATGGTGTTCATTTCTCATTCTCAGAATTGTTGTCATAAACATGTGCATATTATACATATAAAATTTAACATATCATATATAACCCCTTTCCAGAGTTTCCTTATCATTCAATTACAGATTCTTTCTGTAGCTTAGATGAAAAGAATTGTCTATTTGTGGGCATTCACATTCTCTGATTTAATAACCATTTTTGACAGTCCCCCTTTGTGGACCTAAGACTTTAAAATAAAATTCATGAAAGTGTTCAGTGACAAATAGGGGAACTCAGTATTTTTTGTGTGTGTGTGTGTGTTGATGTATTGATCGAATACTTGATTATTCAATTCATTTCTTTGAGCATCATGATATCATCCTATGTAGTCTATTTTCTAATCTAGTTAAAACCGGTTTGGTTCTCAAGACTGTAAATATAGGTAATAGTACCCAAAGCCTCAGTGTCGAAAGGGAGAGAAACACAAAGCCCGGAATAACGTTGTGTTTCCAACTGTCTGTTTTGTCTCATAATATAATCCATTTTTAGCACTATCTAGGTCTTGCCGGAGGAGAAATACAAGCAGATGCAAATGGCTCAAGAAGTACTCCCTACGTAAGAGGAGAAATTCCTGGCCTTTAAATTAGCATAAATTAGCCTCCTGTGCACCTGGGAAGTTAAAACTGCCACTAACGACAGCAGTGATCCACGGCCTTAGCCCCATCTTAAGGGTAAACAGAAATGGGAACAGGTATAAAACGTAAAATTTCGTTAAATGCCATAGAAGTGATCGCAGCCCAGGAACCTAACACGTATAAGCCCTACGTACGTCGTAGCGTCGTTGTAGTGTGCCTATCTGGAAGGGAGAACATGTCCAATGGCAGTAGAGATACCGTCTGTTTTGATGCTCATCAGCATTGCTCCTGATTCAGAAATTTCCTTTTGAAAACGGTAAGTGCAGTTGTAGATTTTACTACTCTCAGTAGTCAGGAATGGATTGAAAGGCCTTAGCTACTTGCTAGGAAGGAAGATGCAGGTACATGAACAAAGAAAGTCCAGAGTGAAGAAAACAACAAAAGGTAAAGATCTCCTTTTGTTCTCTCTCTCTCTCTCTCTCTCTCTCTCTCTCTCTCTCTCTCTCTCTCTCTCTCCCTCTCTCGCTGGGAATGTAATCCAGAGTTCATATTAAATATGTTAAATATGCACTCTAACACACACAGAGATGGAGAGGGGCGAGATAGAAGTTATTCCTGGGAGATTCTCTACCTTTTTTTGAGACAGAGTCTCTCCCTGGCCAGGAGCTTGCCAGTATCGAACTCAGGGCCTCCTGCTTGCGAGGCGAGCATTTTACAGACTGAGCTGTCATCTTCCCTGCCCTGGGCAAAGCCTAATGGTGTGAAATTGATGCTTTAGGGTCCAAAGGCTTAGTTCTACTACTTACCATCCAGGAGAGTCACCTTCATCATTTTTCTCACCTCTAATACAGCATGAATATGTGGGCTGTGATAATTCCTATCCTTCCCAGGAAACAGAAATAACGAAGATAAAATGAGGTAAGGAGAAGCAAAAGGAATTTGCAATGTCTTATTATCATCTGTATTCACCTCCTTCCCAGGAGAAATGCAGGCTGCTCAACAGGTACCCAGAGAAGTATTTTTCAGGTTTTTTTTTCCCTATATTTTCAGTTTATAATTCAACATTAGATGTGGGCTTGGACAACCGTAACTATGTGGATTGGTTTCCGTCTCGGCACACAAATGTTGGTGTGCACTGCACAGCTACTGGGCTCAGCATTCGGGGCAGGGTTAATAGGTAGAGAAGGTAGACAGGTCTTGTGATAGACACATAATTCTATGTATATGCTATATAATAAATATACAACACGTATTTATTAATATATAGGAAAATTGTAAATGGTTCGGTTTACTAGAGAGATAGCTACTCAACCAGATGGGCTGTTTATTTTCAAATGAGCAAATTTCATAAACAAAAGAGATTTCCAAATTAAAACATTGAGGAACACTTTGTTAGCTGATAAAAGGTAGGTACAATTTCTTCAACTTATTCTGAAATGTGTTCATTTATGCTGCAAAGAAAGTATTAAAAATATGTTGAGCTTTACCTTCAGGACTAAGATCAGCCACAACACAAATGTCACATAAAATCCAGATTCTGGAAGTCTCTGCACTGTGCAGGTGAACATCATTCTCAAGAAGAGGCAGAGACCTGGAAAGGGAAGAGCATCACACCACAGGCTGAGTGACCCAGAGACAGCACACTCTGGTCCTGGCATTCGGATATTTTCCAGAAGTTTCCTCCCATAGAGTATGTGTACTTCCAATCATTCAACAATCCAAAGGGACTTTTTCTTTCATTTGGAAATTATCCTGACCATCCTCTGAAAGAATGAGCAGATGAGAATACCAGTCCTATCTTGGCACTAATATAAATGTCATTGTGTTTTAAATTCAAATTCATTGCAGACAATATAAGGAAGGAATTGACCTTTTGTGTTAGCTTTGTATTGCTATAATCACTAATTAAAGTTCCTAAATGATTTGGGAGGTAGTTTCCCATAGTTATTTAATTCAGTTTTTTTGTGTGCTCACTAACTATTCTTGTTATACTGTGTGTAGTAACATGGGTGCACATTGTTACTGTTAATTATTGTTATTATATGTGTATGTGAGTCACATGCTAAGGTAACCATGTGGGGATGAATATGCAGCATTATGGAGTCGGTTCTCTCCTCCCACCAGCACACATGTTCTGGGAACCACACTTGGGTCATCAGGCTTGGGCAGAAACCCGTTGAACTATCTCAACAGCCCTTAATCCACGATGTAAGCTCTTTGCTCAGTTCCAGGCTCTTGCCATTACTTATGTGAAAATCAATACGTAAGCTGCCTTCTGTGTCTTTGACATGACTCCAGTAGCCCCGAGGGGCTTCACTGACATCTGATATGGTAACATGCTCTGAGTACAATTGTACAACTCCTGCCCCCTCCAATCTCTTACATTTCATGCCCAGAACTATAATCATTCTATTCTCCACATATTCTTGGTCCCTTCTTTCGGAAAACAGAAATCAGTAGTCACAAGTCTGGGTATTATTTGACAACCACCCTTGATTTTCTGTGAAGGCAGAGACACGAGGGAGCTAAGTGGACCTGCAGGAACTCGCTAGGGACACGTGGCAATCCAGGTGTGATTGTCCTATCACAGACATTGAGTTTGCTGTTTACTTGTGGGGAAGGGAAGACAAGAAGGAAGGGCCAGGAGGGTGGCTCAGCAGTTAAAGCACCTGCCAAGTGAGTGCAAGGAACACAGTTGGGATTCCCAGAACCCCATGCAAATGCCAGGCGGGCATAGCAGCCAGTCTGTAACTCTAGCCAGGAGACAAAGACAAAGGATCCTGAGAACAAGCTGTCTAGCAGCAAGACTAGCCCTATCTGCAAGCTCTGGGTTTGACTGAGAGGCCTTGCCACAAGAATAAGGCCAAAGCACAATCGAAGAGAACTCCTAACATGAACCTCAGTCCCCCACACATAGGCACACCTACGCTTCCGTGTCCACCTACATATGAGACCACATATGGGATAAAACACATTTACACATCACACATACAAACACCTGTGTTTGAGCTGTGGGCCGGGAGATTCAATCATCGGGTCGTCAAGGCCTCCAGAAATTTACCCTGTGGATGCTGAAGGCGGGGAGAGAGGAGCCCTGAGGAATGGAGCTGGGTTAGGAGCCGGTCTGAAAAGGTGCCACCCTGGAATAACGCTGCTCCAGGCAAGTGCGCAGGTGTAGCTCCTTTTAAAGAGAAGACAAGGAAAGGAAGCAGCAAACTCCTAGAGCGTGTTCTGGGCGGACTTACTGGGTGCCGGGGTTGGAATAGCTTCCTGCCCGCGTGAGCTGGGCCGTGCCGAGGACGGACATGAGCGGAAGTAAGAGTGTTAGGAAATACTGGGCGGGCAGCTCTTAGGAGAATCTTATCTCCCTGGTATATTTTAACTCTTTGCTTCTTCTACACTCGGGAATTCCTAGGAGCAATACGCCCTCTTCACATATTTTATATCCTATTAATATTTATTAAACAGAGGAAATGAGAGAACAATCTAAGCCAATGTTCATAAAGTAATACCATAGTATTTTTTTTCTAAAGAGAAGGGTTTATTTGTGGAAGAGTGTTTATTCATACATGTGTGTTGGATGTATGCATGCATGCACATGTATGTGTGGATGCCTAAAGAAACCAGAGGACGGTGCTGGTTACCCCAGACCTGGAGTTCCAGGCAGTTGTGAACCACCTGGTGGGATGACAGGAACTGAACACAGGTCCTCTGCCAAACCAAGCTCTCTGAACCACTGAGCCCCCTCTCCAGCCCAGTACCATATCCCGTTTTAAATCTTTATAAAAGTCTTACTTACTACTTTTATTTTATGTGTATGAGCATTTGGCCTGCTTGTATGTAAGTGTGCCATGTATGTGCCTGGTGCCCATGAGGGCGGGAGAAGCTGTCAAGTTCCCTGGAACTAGAGTTAGGATGGTTATAAGCCTCTGGGTGGGCATGGGAATCAAACACCACTGAGCCTTCTCTCCAGCACAAGCACTGAATTCTTCAAGGGAGTTATGAAGTTACAAATCGTTTTGTTCTCATAAATAAGTACGTCTGTTCGCCATTCTTACCGTCCCCCTTTTCCAACACTCCTAAATGTTTTCCTGGCTTCTGTCATATTCTTTCTAGTTTATCCCTCTGCAGAAAGGATCTGGAGAAAGAATTCCCTCTTGAACATAAAACAAAGAAGAGCTGTCACCATCAACTCTTAATTCCTTCAAGTAAGTGATAATTGTCAATAACACCGATCACCATCTAAATACGCCACATTTTCCACAATATTACATTGTTCTTTTTTTTTCTTTAATCAGATCTGGAATGTTCTTTTTGTTTTTGAGACAGAGTTTTGCCATGGCCCAGGCTGACCTTGAACTTGGGTGTCCTTCTGCCCCAACCTCCAGAGTTCTGAGATTAGAGATTTCCAACCACAGGCCTGACCCATATTCAGAATATACATACATATATATGTATATACACACATAATATATATGTACACACACACACACACACACACATATATATATACCTTTGGATTTTTTAACCTATGAATTCCAAAGTTGGACAGAAGTCTGGTACAAGGTTTCAGGAACCAGTGGGAAAAGTAGAAAGAACCAGGGCCAAAAACATCCAGATGGACGCCATCCACGTTGCTACAGGTTAGAGGCGTGTGAGAAGGCCACGGGAAGGAGAGAGAGCATGACTCCCAAAGCAGGAAAGTGGGAGACATTCAACAAACTCAGGGGAAGCACCAAAGCATGGCTTCTGAGCAGGCAGACAAGCCAGAGGACTCGGACTCCTGACAAGGCCAATGTGGGGAGGCAAGCATGGGAGCCAAGTGTGTCGACAGACCCGGGGTTACCTGAGAAACAGCCCAGGAGACCAGAGGACAGCAGAGAGGTCTGGTCCCGTTCACACAGGGAAGCGTTTAACATGTGTTTCTAATGCATTGTTTCGCCAGAAAGCTGTCCTGTCTTCGCTCTATTGTAATGTCCCATATTGCTTTGTTTAAAATTGTGTAATTCGCAGAGGCCCAGTCAGAGCAGGGTCCTTGCTTCCAAGTCCGAAGTCCCAACGTTCTGTCTTTTTAACACGTAAGTACAGAGGGAAGCATTGGCCTGGTAGGTGTGCTCTAGTCTGCAGCAAGTAAGAACCCTGGAGGTGCCAAGTCTGGGGCTGCAGCCCAGGCAGGTGTGATGATGTCTGGAGGCTCGCACAGACCCTAGAAAACTTCCTCCACGCGTCTGAAAAAGGGGAGAGATCTTCTCCTTCTGCCTTCCATTGTTACAGACCTAATTGAAGGGTCACAAAAGGAATGGCCGTTGGCTTCTGAGGTTTCAGTCTCTGAGTGTTAGGAGTGAATAAACAGGGGATTGTCCTGCTGCTTATAGAACAAACGAGGTATTCACTGGCAACAGAGGGACTTGTGCCTGTTCTGGGAATCCTCGTCCAGGGCCTTAGAGAGATGGCTGGCCACTTGTTTAAAGAATCCAAAGATGAGCCCAAGCAGCTAGCTGCGTTGAGGGAATAGCTGTGGGCAAACATCATGATGGGGGCGGGGGCAGGTGGATGAGGACCAGCTGCCTACTGGGAAACACTTAATTCAAAATAAGATAGCCAGCCACTGCACTGGGAAGCAGATATTCTTACGGAATTCCTGATCCCACCTCCTTAACCTAGCTGTGCTCAGACTTAGAAACTGGGATTTAAAAACAACGCAATGCGTAGACTACAGTTTGATCCCTTAGGAAAATCCAGGGACGAGTTTGGCATGTGTTTCCAAGAGACTCGGATTTTTTTTCTCCCAAAGAGTCTTTTCTTCTTCTCTCTGTAATGATTAGCTCCATGTTGCTTTCTTTAAAACTGTACAATTCACAAGAAAGAGCAAGGCTTGTTCCAACGTATGGGCCAAGTTTCTCCTGAGACAGGGAACTGAATGTGCTCCCATCTCTGCTGGCGACGCGCTCCCCCTGGGAACTTAATTCTTAATAAATAGTAAGCGATGGGGTTGCTTTTGTGTTCTTGGCTTCGAGCTGCATGGCCACGCCGATTCTGAAATTTTGTCCTTCTTTGCCTCATGTGCTCTCGGCAATAACGAAGCAAAGCGAATTTTGCAATCAGATGTCTTCTTGAGTTCAAACCACAGAGGAAGAGGTCCTAGGGTCGGCAGAGCCCCCTCCCCCAAAAGTGAGATGCCGCAATGGGACTGTATGGGGTGAAATCTTAGGGTGCCCTGAAAGATGCCCTCCTTACCATGACTACAGAAGCGGTGGGCAGATTTTTCCTTTAAAGAAGAATATTTTAAGAGAGACTCTGATGAACAACTTTAACACAAATTTCAATTATTCTAAGTCAGGCGTGATAACTGAATCCAGCAAAGTGAGCCTACAGGGTTAAAATTTAACTAGACAGAGCTGGAATTTCTCAAAGCAGCAAACTCCAGCATGTGTAGTAAGATTATTTTTTTTTTTTAACTAGGTTGCTGACCTAGTTTCCGACACCGACTCGCAAGCTCCAGGTCCCTAAAAGAGTAAGAAGAAAAGCTACTTACTTATACTCTGCAGTTTATTACACTAATTTATGGCCCTTCAAGTCTGGGCAGGGGATGGACTGTTCTTGTTTTATAGAAGAACCTTTTTGTCCTTTCTTGGGGACGTTTCCAGCTGTTTAACAATCGACTCTAATAGAATCTGATGAATAAAACTAATGAAAACATGAAGAAATGAACTCTAGAGACCAAACATACAGTAGCTTATTGTTCTCTCTCCGGAGAATAGAAATACCTTCTCTAACAAGGTACAATGGTGCGGACAGGAACCAGCACTCTGGTTTCAATGCACAAGGCATTCAGGGTCAGGAGGAGGCCAGAGCTGCTGACATTAACCGGGTCAGCCTGGAAAGCTCAAGGAGCAGGACAAACAGAAAGGTAAATGTGTTTCCACCTCTGGGAAGTGCTCCCTCGGTTATTAAAATGTTTTTGGAGGGGGAACAAATGACCAGAACTAGCTCTTTGTCCTCTGACCTACCTCTGTGTGTTCTCAGAAGAACACATGTAACGGGTCATGTTCTTTCTGTCACAGAGACCAACCCTTGTAGCCTAGCGTCTTCTTTTGAACCTTGGGGAGCAGACGAGACGCTGGGAACCTAGAGGTTTGGTAGATAGTGGCTACAGTCAGAAACCTAGAGGTTTGGTTTGTGTGGTGTGCTGGGATGGAACTCAGGCACCTGTGCGTGCTGAGCTACACTCCCAGCCTGTATACACAGTTTTCACTGCAAAATTACTTAACACAGCAAACTTTTAATGTGATTGTGAAGCCCAGGGCTAGTGGTCTCGGTTGCCTGGTTCTCAGTGACGCCCGCCTACAAAATGAGAGACTCACACGACCAGTGTACGTCCATGTGGACCACCCGTCCACGCCACTGGCAGCACGCAAGATGACTTTAGGTGGGACTCGGAGAGTCACATTTATTTATTGACTGGTTGATACGTTTTTCTAAAGACAGGATCTCCCTTAGCCTAGGCTGGACTCGAAAGTTGCTCCATAACGAGGACGACCTTCAAGTTTGGATCCTCCTGCCTCTACCTCCCGAGTACAGGGTTTGCAGATGCATGCCCCATTCCTGGTCTATGTGGTGCTGGGAATCAAACACAGGGCTTCACGAATGCTAGGTTAACCATTTTACCCTCCCCCCCCCCCGGGTTGCATCCCCTGCTCCATTTAAGAATTTATTTTATGGGCTGGAGAGATGGCTCAGCCCGTGAAAGGCTAGTCTCACAACCAGAAATAATGAGAATTTATTTTCCTAGCCTATTAAACCTGTGATGTTTCCGAATATTACTGTAAATTGGATTGTTTGTTTTTTAACAATCAGCATAGGGAGAGATATCAAGCAAATGATAAGAATATAATAAAAGAGGGACGTTTTGTTGAGTAACAGGAAAACAGACTAGCTCTGGTGGAGTGATGTGGGGTTAGCATGCCTCACTTGTCACTTCAAAGGCCCTGGGTTCGATCCCCAGCACTGAAAAAAAAAAAACCCAAGAAACAAAACCACAAACAAACAACAAAAAAAGCTCAGATTAGTCTAGATAACCTCAAGTCTGAAACACTCATACTGTCAGCCTTTCTTCAAAACTCGCTGACTCTGCCCTCCACAGAGGAGCCAGCAGTTGCTGGAGAGGAAGGGGAAGTGCCAGGAGCAGTCTCACACCTGCCCACCACCAGGAGTTACAGCTACCTGTGCAGCACTTACGTGGATGTGGGCGGGGATTGTCGCTGCCAAC